TTAGATGCCAAAGATATGTTTCGTTCATTTTAGAAGGTTCCTTTCTCTTATTCAGATTAGATGATGAATTAAGTAATTATTTTTGTTGCAGTGGAGATGACTTAAATTCTAGAATGTACAGATTGTCAACTAATGAACCAGAACATATGAACTTTTTGCCAAAACGAATAACAACTTTATTATCAAACGTAGCGGAAAAACCGTTCATAAACAACTTAGAAACCGAAATCAAATTCTTTCTAAAACTGGGAACATAAAGACAATCTTTCAAAACTAGAAACCTATCTAAACCAAAATCTAAATAGACGTCTCCCACTGCAACTGCTGACGCTCTACTAGCATCGCCCAAGTAGATGGTAACCTCTCCTAGAAACCTATCTAAGCCAAAAATTGATTTATTTTGGGTGAAAATAAAATTATTAAGGAGCTAATCCAATATAACATGAAGAATTAATATTCTAGAAGTCGATAGACGTTCTACTAGTGCCTACCACCTAAAGCCCATAGGCAGGGCCTAGGCGACATTTTGAATCAAGATTAAATATTTTAATTTTTTTTATTTATTTTTACTAATTCATCTTGAGCGAAACTTTTTGTATGCAATCACACCTTTAATAATCAGCCATATTTCCATCAAACTAAACGGGTCGCTCAAGACTTCCCAATCAAATGAGTGTCACCAGATGCCAAATTATTTATAATTTATAAATTTTACGGTATTTTGAAAAATGAAAATCATAAATGTCAATAAACAATGTGCCAATTTTAAATGTAGGAGATAAGATATACAAATATAGTTTTACTTAAATTAACAATTATTCAATAATAAAATGCTAACATAAAAAACTAGGGATGAGCGCGATTCGGTGAAAAACCGCACCGAACTGTTAAAAACCAAAAACCGAACCTAGTATAAAATAAATAACCAAACTGCACCGCAACTTATAAAAAACGAACTGAAACCGTATCGAATTTTTTACACTAAATTAACCGAACCGAACTGCACCAAAATGCACGGTCCGATTCAGTTTTTCAGTTTTGTTTCAGTTTTTTATACATTTTATTTAATTTGGTTTTGCACTGAACGTACAAAACCGAAAATTAAATTTATGAAAAACTATAACCGCACTACACCGCAATATAGGAAAAAACCGAACTAAAAATTTTTAACATTAAAAAAACCGAACCATACCGCACTACCACATTGCTCGATTCGGCTCGTTTTGCTCTCTCCTAGTAAAAACTGATTTAGAAAAAGTGCAGACCACGCTCCTATTCATAGCGTGGTACAAGTGGTTGGTGCAGTGCGATTTATCGTAAATACAACTTGTAGACCACGCTCCTTTTCATCGCGTGGTACAAGTGGTTGGTGCTGTGCGATTTATCGTAAATACGACGCCACATGTTCACAAAGTTCAATCTCTGTTCGAGATAGAGTGGTAAAGCACCGAGTTAACTCAGCTACAGAACAAGCTCAGCAATGGCGGTAGTTTCCACCTCGCTCGGCGGCGCCGCCGCCTCCACTCATTTGAATCAGTTTAACGGCCTCCGGAAATCGTTCCTCAAGCCCGACGACTCGAATTCCAACTCAACCCAGTCATTTTTGCAAGTTGTCGACTCGCATCTCCGCCTCGCTTCACCGAGTAAAGGCTTCCGTGGCGTTGTCGCCATGGCAGGCTCTGGAAAGGTGACTTCCCTTTTTCCCCTTTAGTTATGGTGTCTTTGTTTAAATCTTTATCTATTGCGTTTATTTTTCGGATCTGAAACTAGTTGAATCAATTGTATTTCTTTTATTACGAAAAAAAAAATTGAAAAAGATAATTCTCAAGAATGAATATTAAAATGTTCATAATTAAGAATGAATATTTTTTTCTAATGAATTTTATAGAAGATGGGAATTAAGCTATGGGGGAAATGCAAATTGGGGCAGTGAATCAATGGGCAAATTTTGTGTTTACGTGCAGTTCTTGTTACTATGATCCTAGTTTTAATGATGTTGGGTATATTTGGTAAAGTTAGCTTAGTTGATAGCTCTGATAAATTAGCTAATTAAAACAGCTTATAATGAATTTCGAGATGGCTTATGATTGATGCATGAAAAAACTAACCGATATAATGAAAGTATTTGGTAAAATTAGCTGACTATCAATTGAAATAAAAAATTTGATGGATTTGAAAAACTACCAATCCATCCCATCAAATCAAACTTATTTGGACGAAAGATGCTTATAAGCTAACTAAATAAGTTATAAGCTAGCTTATGGTGCTTATAACACTCATTGTGCCACCATATGTTTATTAATTTATTGTTTAAATGTCGATGTTGCTTGTTTGTTATTTTGCTAAGAGTATGATTGTTGTTCTCTTTTCCTTGCAGTTCTTTGTTGGTGGAAATTGGAAA